GGTGGCTCTCAGAGTTGATCCTTCAGTGGGGAGGTTAAAGGTCAGTGGCATGTGGATTGCAGTTTGCAACATGAAGCAACCTTGGTAAGAGCCCCGTGTCCTTTGTTCTGGTTGTGTGATCAAGATCATATCCAAATCTAAGATTCACTATTTCTTGGGTGCAAGTACCAAGCTCCTAATACTGAAGGATCTGTGCAAAAATGTACGTGTGATTTAAAGACATGAATCTTACCTAAGGTTACAACTATAGAGGGAAACATTGCCATGTGGTCAGTGGAAAGCAGCTCTCTGTATACACATAACGGAGCATGGGATGCTCACATTAAGGAGCCCACGTGCACACACACATGTGTGTCAGCACCTGTGCAAACACACATGTGCCTTCTCCCTGCAGCCTGTTCCTTTTTACTATTACCCTGTATTTAATTTACCTCCCACTCCCTGCAGGATATGATGTGGTGTTTTGAAAGTAACAGATACCATTGAGCAGTGAAATGGTCCCGTGTAACCGAGCTGGAGAGCTAAAAGCAGGTTTTAATCAGAACCAAACCAAACACCATCCTGTGGTGAAAATCTGGTCCCCCTCGCAAGTTTGTGATTAGGACTGCCCAGCGAGTTTCAGCTGCTGCTTGTAGCTGGTGACAGTGATGCATCCCCATGATCCGGATAATGAGTCCCTTCCCCCAGATTTTAGGATGCTCAAATATATTAGATGGATATTTTGAGGTTTTGAAATCTGAATTTTCTCAGGAAGACTCGTATATCTTTTGCAATTATTGCAAGAGAGGAAATAAATTCAGAAAAATCTGCAAAGCAGAGGTAAATCAGAATCCTTAAAAATAAGCCTCTTGGTTCAGAACTGTGTTGTGAAGGTTAAGTTTCAGGAGGACTCCTGCTGCCCGGGATGTTTTCAGTAGTGGGTTGTGGGAAGGGTGTCGTGAGAACAGCCTGAGTGAGGGGGTTTCCTGAGGGGAGGGCTCCAGGAGCGTGTATTAGTCAGCTTTTTCATTGCAGAGACACAATACCGGACACCCACAAATTAAGGGAGGAGAGGTTCACTTTCTCTCATGGTCTCCAGAAATTCAGTCTGTGGTGAGCTGGCTTCAAGGCAGGAACTTCCTGGCAGAAGAAAGTGGTAAAGCAAACCTAGCTCCTCTCTGTATCAAAATTCTAATGATGTAGTCAAGACGAGGGAAGAGAGGTTACTTCCGGCCAGTTGTCCTGTAGCCTGTCTTTGTACAAGATGTTAACTGCCAGCAAAACTACCCAACTTGAAAGGGGGAAAAAAGCAACTACTGAAGATACTTCAGATGCTGAGAAATGTTTGCACACCTACTCAGCCCAATGCCTGGCATATGCAAAGTACCCAATACGCAGTTGTTCGTATGAATGAATTAGCAGTTGAACACTGGACTGAAAAAGGGCTGTGGGGATGGCTCAGTGGTACAGTGCTTGCCTTTCACGTGTGGGGCTCTGGGTTCAACTCCCAGCACTGCAAATGAAAAACTATCATACAGTGGAGGCAAAGCACTCTTTTTTGGCGGTGACAAGAGTTGGGGGAAAATAGCTGTATCCTAATAGTTCAACAAAATAGAGAAAAAAATTTTTTTTCAGTACTGGATATTAACCTAGGGCCTCACTAGGCAAGTACTCTACCACTGAGTTATCCTATCAAAAGAATGAGATTTTAAGAAGAAATATCTTAAGATTTAACTAGATAAATATGAGCAGTAGAAAATAGCAATGTCTCTTATGCCAGAAATACGACTTCAGTATCTTGTATGCCTGGCATTGTGTTGATCTTAAGATATAGTGGTGGGAAAATCAGTGCTAGATCTTCTGTCTTGTGAAGTAAGAAGCATTAGCTACTATTAGATGCATATTATAAGCCATGGTACAGATACAGAAGGAAAAGCACAAATATTACAGACACAGAGGAAGGCATATGTAAAGGGCCTGTGGCAGAAGGAGAGGGAGGTTTGTTTGAGGCATACCTTGGGGCAGGCCAGAGCCCTGGAATATGGAGAGTGAGAGGGAGGCAAGTTAGCAGTTGCTACAGCCAAAACATGGTGTGCTATTTCAGATCGTTTGTAGTCCCTCATGAGAATATTTGGTTTAAATACCGTGAGAACATGAACTTGTAGGAGGCATTGTGGGGAGAGGGGTATATTCTTTAGCATCGTGAAACGAGCATAATAAAATCTAAAGAATGAAACTTCAATATGAGCTCAGCCGGGCTCTTGCAGGAATGGATACCATGGAAGTGGGCAGAAAAGAACAAGAACATGATCCTGGCTGTGTAGGGGAAGGGGACAGGAAGGACGGTGTGGCTCTCTGTGTATTAGAAGCTGTCACTGAAGCCACATGTCTGACTTTGACGGACGAGGACAACTGAGTCTACAGGCTGGAGAACTGGTGCGACCCGGCTCTCTCACCCCATCTTCTGTCTGTGTTCTTTCCGTTTTGTTACTGTACTTCTGCCCCAAGTTTGGAGGGAAAGGAGCCCCGCAGACCCCAAGAGCAGTCACCAGGATGCGTGTGTGGCAGGGCAGGATGCACGAGCCTCGGTCTCGGTTTCAATTTTATGTTTTGTTTCTTTTAGAAAGTGGCTTCTAAGATAAAATATTAATATCTGTTAGTGATGGTAGTAGATATACGCTTGCATGTTTTATTTTTATTTTATTTTCCCCTATGTGCTAAATTTTATTTAATTAGGAAAATGGGGAAATGTTTAAGTTTTTGTATAGAGAGAGCGAGGGGCAGTTACAAGAAGGGAGGAGGGACTGGCAATGGCAAAAGACTCAGACTCCCGATTCCCACTACAAACTGAGGGGACAGATCCTTCCTCTAGTCCTCAGGCGTCTTACCTCAGGACGCGCACTTGGAGGCTGATGAACTTGGAAATGCTGTCTGGCTGTAAGACATTCTGTGATTCTAACTTCTAAAAACAGTTGATTATGGCCTCACTCTACTTACAGGCTTGCAAATGCGGTGTTCCATTCCCACGAACCCAGTATTTTACAAGAGATCCAGTGTAGCTTGGGACGAGGCAGCCAGTGGTGCTCTTGTAGAGAAGACAGGCATCGAAATTCATTTGCCAAGTGGCCTTTTGAAACCCCTGGGCCTGCAGGCTGTGCAGAGGAATTTGGAGCCTGTAACTCTCAGACTGGCATCTTTCCGGTCGCCGCCACAGGTCTTGGTTGTGTCTCTCAGTGTTTGTAGCAGCAGGGCAAAGGGTAGATATCGAGGCTGGGAAATTCTGCTCCTTGCCTTTCAAACTTTGGACCAGAAATACAATAATGAAAAGGGAACAACACAAACAGAAGACTGGGTGAGAGATAGGCATGGGGTACAAAAAGTTACATAAAACACTCACTGGCTGGGTCCCCCGACATCCTTTCAAGCATCCTTGCGGATGTGTGTACCCTAGACTATACTATGGCTTTTTAAATGGTGCTGTGAGTTGGAGGGTTTCATTTTGTTCCTGGATGTTGTACAGCTCGGCATCATGCACCACCTGGGCTGCATCAATGGTATAGGGGACGACAGTGTGTGTGCCAAATCCCTCTGGTCTGCCTCGCCCCTGGAGAGGGGCAGCTGACAGAGGGGACCCCCAGCCCACAGGCAATGGAGGAAGCTGAGGAGGTGACACATGACATGGGTCCTCTGCAGAGCCGGCAGCCCTTGCTGACATGGGGAATGTCCTCCGGGCCATCAGCTGCCATTGCCGCCTCCTCTCCAGTTTCTCTTACTTGGGTCAAGTTTCCTTCCGATGCACTGAATGAACGAGAAGAAAGTGTGTGCCTGCAGAATTTCAGCTGAATAATGCCAAGGCTTTCCAAGGAAGAGCAGGAATTTAAGCAGAGCAAAGATTCGAGTCAATGGGATGCCGAGTAAATGGCTGTTCTGCTGACAATGAAAAGTACAAATGTTTTTATGTTCCAGGGTTAACAAATGGGATTCCTTCACTGGCCTACCGGCCTGCGCCATTACATGGTGGAAACTGTTCCTGATCGTTGCTTTATGAAACTTGTATTCACTAAGTGATCAGGAACATTTTCCACTTTACATTTAAGGCTTGGTTAAACAAAAGTTTGCTTTTTTTTAAGTAATATTTTTTTCCTTTTTGCAACCAGACTGATGGTTTAAAGTAACAGGTTTTCCACATAGCACACTTACACTTTGCCTCTGAAATTATCATATCTATCATGGGATTGGAACTTTCCAAAAGTATATTTCTCAAAAGGATTCTCATTTTGCTGCAAAGTGTGATTCTTCAGAGCACATTATGGGATATAGACAGACTAGTCACTTGGGATCCCTTTATAAAGGAAATCATTACAAATAAAATGGAAGCCTTTGTTTCTAACGAAGAAGGAAAATTAAATCCATTGAGACTATCTAGATCTTCCATGAAGGCCGTTGGTAATTCATGGTGATTGTGTTTGTTTGTTTGTTTGTTTTGCTTCTCTAATTCTCCTTTTTTGCCAATTTCCCACAGCAGACCACAACCACAGTCACAAAATAGTATTTTGCTCGATTCCTTAAATTCTTAGTGAGATTGGTTCTCCCTGAATTTAACTCTACCTTTGCCATACCTCACCACTTGAGAGCTTTTGGGACTACTGCTGCTAAGAGAGCATGAGTTGATGTTACTATTGTGGTCTTGGGCTGCAAAGAGCATTTAGATAAGAGTTGATGCCTTCTACTCAAATGTTGTTGCAGTGTGGCAGGCAAAGATATAATGAGACTTACTAGTTAAGGGATTATTTTATTTCATTATTTAGATGAAACTGAGAAAATATCCTGTCTAAAATGCTGGCGAATCTCCCAGAGAAGCTCTGTGCACCCACATGGGACTGAATGCAGGGGCCGTGTAAACTTTTAGGGTGCCCCTCCCCACACCCTCATGCCCTTACCCAATAATAGAGAGCAGCTGGGCATGGTCAGCAAATGCAGTAAACTCAGGGAATGAGCCCAGTGTCCTTTTTCCTTGTCAGATCTCCCAGTTGATGACCGAGAGTGCCCGCGAGGGACTGACAGAAGTGGCACTGAACCGCTACAATACAGACAAGCCCACGGCCTGCAGTGTCCCAGCCTCACAGGGCTCCTGTGTGGCCAGCGAGACATCCACAGGGACCTCGGTGGCTGCATCCTTCTTCGCAAGGTAAGAGAGATGCTGAGATCCTTGATTCTTTCATGTACGCTCAGCTAGTTGGCAACCTTCCTGGACCCTTGCAGTTAAAAGAGAATTCAACTTTGGGGCGCTCTTGACTTGGATGTTTAGGACAGGCTTTCCCAAGCTTGGCACTACTGACATTGTGGCCTGGACACCTCTGCTGTGGGAACTGTCCTGTGCCTCTGTGATAATCAGTGAATCTTAGTCTCTGCCTGCTAGCAGTATTTCTCTCACCCATAAGACTACCAGAGATGTCTGCAGACAGTTTCCCCTGTCCCCTGCTTTGGGATTCACTGCTGTGAGGATCTATCCTCTCAAGATGGTCATCCTTAGGATGAGGACTTTTGTAGGTGCAGCCCTGAGGCTGATGTTTCAGATATATCTGTTAATTACTGCCCCCAAATTGACTATTACATAGAGGGCAATTTTTTTTTCCTTCTTGATAGACTGGCTGGATAGTTATCAAATACTATTCAGTTAATCTTGGAAACTTAAAAACATGAGAAACAAAAAAGAAAGGTATTTTAACAATGTTTTCTCCCTAATTTTAGCCACATGACAGAGACAGGGCTGGAGACACAGGACAGCTGAGCTGGACAAAATTTCAGGGGTTGTCTAATTCAATCTCCTTACTTTGTGAATGAGGAAACTGAGGACCAGGAAAGCTCATCTGTGAGTTAGTTTATAGAAAAGCCAGAAATAGAAACCAGATTCCTCTACTTTTTTCTCTATGCCTCTTTCTTTATTTGATACTTGGAACTGAGGGCAGGGATTTAGCTCAGTGTTTCTGGCACCTGTCTCGCAAGCCCAAGGACCCAAGTTCAATCCCTCCCAAAATATGTATCTGATACTTGGAACTGAATCTTAGAAAATTTTCTCTTAAGATCCAAAGATCCCTTGGGTTCAGGACCCAGCCCTGCCTCAGCTTCCTGGTCTATACAATAAGGATAACATCTATTCCAAAGATGAAGATAAGGCAATTGTAAATTATAAAATGCCTCACAAATGTCAGTTCAATATGGACATGGTCACTGTGTCAGGAAGACGGAATATTGTGTAACTGGTCTTATCCTTATGAATGGCAACATCCAGGACATGGATATAAGGAAGGGATCTGACTGGGAAAGAAGCAGGTGAGGAGGACAGAGGGCTAATGTCCTGAATTAAGATATGATAGAGGTGTGTTGGAAGACAGCTTTAAGGAGCTCGCAGTGCTTTGGTGCCATGTTTACAGTCCTCCGAATGTGTGGGCCAACTTCCATGTGTGGGAAAAAACAGGAAACCTGTCTGTGTTGGACACTAGGGAGTGGAGTCCTTGTTAGCTCTGACTTCATGGGAATCTCTGCATTTTCTGGACTGTTGAGCGTGCTGGAATCCTGAGCGTGTTGGGAGGTCATGTTCACGAAGAGATGGAACAGTTTACAAGGAAACGACACAAGCCCAGGAGCTCCTAGGACCCAGATCGGTTACTAGAGAGTAATAGAGGGGGGTGGCCAGGGTGTTGAGGGTCTAAGAAGCTGTACTGTGCAGGTTTAGTCTTGAGAAGAGAAGGATTAAGGGTACCTTCTAGCTTTCTTCAGCAGTCACTTGGGTCATTGTAAAAAGGGTTTTGGTGGGATCCATGGAGCACCCAGGTGCATAGGTGAAAGGCTGACCGAGACCTCGTGACAGAAAGGAGATATTTCCCAGGTGAGAATGCAGGAGAACATATAGTTCAAACTGTGCAGGGGGGATTGAGGTTCTCATCACTGAGGGAGATCAAGGTTATTTTGAAGGGTTATCTGGCCTTGATAGCATTCCAAAATGTGCCTTCCTAACCTGAGATTTGTTGAATGTGAAAAATCTTTAGTTTAGAATCCTTCCAGAGAATTTTACAGAAAATTGCCTTATGCAACAAAACAAAAATTCCAGAAGGATTTGAAGCAGAAAGTAAGAAGTCTCCCTGATGGAAGAGAGAGAGAACAGGAGTCTGCTGGTGCCAGGAAGCCAGCGGCATCATTAGAGCCAGTGAGGGCTGTGGAAATGAGATAGGCCTGGGAACACTAAATGGTGCCCAAGGCCAGATTCATTAGGGACAACTTACAAACATGCAAACAAACACCAGGGAAGGAATCCGCTGCTAACAAATGACTGGCTCAGATAGTCTTCTCTGTGACTCACACAACCAGGAGTGAAACAGAGACACCTAGGCAGATGCTAGGTGGATGGGCCAGTGACAGCAGTTAGGGGAGGCCCTACACATGACGTTGGCAATAAGCAAGACTCTGAAACTTATCTCTTAGAATTGCAAGCTTAAGGTCTGAGTCTTCAAAGAGCTGGAGAAGATCCATAAGGCTGCCTAATTATGCATTATTTTCTTTGTTGTGAACATTGGTAGCACTTAGAGCTTAATGTTGGAGACAGTGGAAGTACATGGCCTGTATGTAAAAGGTTCACAAGTGGCTGGAGATTTAGTGGTTCTTTTGCCTGCCCTGCAAGTGCAAGGACCCGAGTTTGATCCCCGGTACTTAAAAAAAAAAAAAAAAAAAAGTTCACAGTGCACAGGGGGGAAAAGTATCATGTGAACAACAAAACACACACATGCACGCACATACACACACTATATATATATTATACACACACACACACACTCTACCCCTCACCTGTTATTATATGTTGCCCTGCTCTTCTCATCAATAAGAGTTGGGCTTGTCCTCTCCTAACAAGGGAGGCAGACTTAACACCCTGCCCATAACTGATGGGTGCCTACAGAGGAAGGTTGAGTGGCTTGCTCCCGGTCAAGAGACAGAGCCAGGGAGGATCTCACCTCTTTGGGTCACACACGAGTGGTACCCCTTGCTTAAAAAAAAAAAAAAAAAAAAGTTCACAGTGCACAGGGGGGAAAAGTATCATGTGAACAACAAAACACACACATGCACGCACATACACACACTATATATATATTATACACACACACACACACTCTACCCCTCACCTGTTATTATATGTTGCCCTGCTCTTCTCATCAATAAGAGTTGGGCTTGTCCTCTCCTAACAAGGGAGGCAGACTTAACACCCTGCCCATAACTGATGGGTGCCTACAGAGGAAGGTTGAGTGGCTTGCTCCCGGTCAAGAGACAGAGCCAGGGAGGATCTCACCTCTTTGGGTCCCCGGAGCACCATGTGATGACTCAGACAACTCAGCTTATGTTGTCCAAAAGTAAACGGAGTCATTATCAAACTGCCTTTAGGTTTCAGCTGCAGTCAAGCTGTGGGAAGGTCATGGTACAGGCAGCTTTTGATGGAAGTGAAATACAGACCTGTCACTAGTGTTGGGATTGGAAATGTTTCCGTGGTTATGTTTTCACATGGAGGAGAAGGACTCTCTGTCCTCAGAGGAATTTGGGGGCAGAGTCAGTTCCTACCCCTTAGGTCTATGCTCACCAGTTTTCAAGATGCAGCCCCCTGGGTCTGCAGGGCCCGGAATTCTTTTGCAACTCCATGTCAGGAACGAGACTGGGTTGTTTGCAGAAAACTATGCTGGAGCCATTTCACTTTACACAGGAAAGACATCACTTGCCAAATTTGTGGCCACAGTGGATGATGTGTACTAATGACTAGGCGTTCATCACTCTATTACCTGAGCTTTTAATGTGGAAAACTCCCCTTTATCCTCAGACTAGCCTCATGAGGTAGATCCTATTATTTTCCATGTTTTATGGCTACAGAAAACATAACCCTGGGGTTCAATTTAATGTGTCAGTCAGTTTTCTGTTACTTTAACAAATACCTGAGATGATCAACTTAGAAGGAAGAAAGGTTTACTTTGGCTTACAGTTATAGAATTTTTAGTCCATAACCTATAAGCATCATTGCTTGGGGCCTGTGGTAGCCCATCATGACAGGAATGCCTGGCAGAACAAAACCACTCACCTCATGGTCAGGGACCAAAGAGTAAGGAGGCGCCAGAGTCTCTATACCTTTGTGCCGTGCCACCACTCACTTCACCTCCTTCCATGAGGTTCCGCCTGTTAAAGGTTCTCCCACTTCCCCATAGCACCATCCTGAAGACCAAGCCTGTAACCTGTGGACTTCTGGGGGATGTTTATGATCCAGATTGTACCAGTTTCTGGCCCCAAATTACACAGCTGGGAAGTGGCAGAGTGAGGAAGCCATCTATTTCCTTTTTTGTGGGAGCCCATGTTCCTATTTACTGTGCAAAGCCTATACAGAAAGACACAGTAGGTTGTTTTTCCTCATCATGATAAACTGATAATCATTATTTATAAAAAATCTTTGAAAAGAGTGGACCCTACAGCTTGTTTAATAAGACAAGTAGAACAACAAAAAAATATTGGCTGAGGATTTTCTTTATAATCTGGGGCTTTAAAAAATGTTTACCTTTCAGAACTATGGGTAAAGGTGTGCATGGACCTCACTGCATGTCAAGTTCAATATCTATGAAATAAAATTCCAAATATGATTGAGCAATGATGCTTTTGGACTGTGTTTCTCCCAGTGTAGTTACTGGACAGGTGTTGGATCACACAGGGTCTCTTCTGTGACAACTGTGGACATTGAGAGGAAGCACTGGAAACTTCTGTAACACTTGGCAGAATTCTTCTAAGCCCATTGTCTTAGTCCATTGTGCTTTTACATCAGAATGCCCCAAAGTGGGTAATTTTCAAAGAAAAGAAATTTATTTCTTGCAACTTTGGAGGCTGGGAAGTCTAAGATCAGGGCGCCAGCATTGGTGTCTGTTGAGGGCTGCTCTTTGTTTCAAGATGGAGCCTTGTTAATGGGTCCTCATATGGTGGAGGATGGAAGGGTAAGAGAGACCAGCTTGTTTCATAGGGACAGGAATCTAGCTGTGAAGTCAGAGCCCTTGTGGCCTCTTCACCCTCTGAAGACCCAACCTCAGTACCAACACAATGGGGATTCAGTTTCAACACGAATTTTGGAAGGGGACACATTCAGATAGTATCTGTTGAATCTAAGAATAAAAGATC